AAATATTTATATCTATTGCGACAAAAAAGTCGTAAACAGAAGGGAACCTAAAAATGCAGAGCCTGGCTGTTGGAGAATTAGAGGAGTGTCGTCTGGCAGTTTGAACCTTCCAACAAATAGCTTGTGCAATTGATGGAATACAGAGTTGGATAACACTCAACGTGAATAACAACAGAGAAAAGAACGATAACAACGTAATTATAGTCGAATTGAAAATAAATCTATGGTCACATACTTCTTTCATGTTGTCACTTCGTCCTCAACCCAGTATTGAGCTGCTTTCAATGGTTCCATACAATATTTGCTGTTTATTTCCTTGCGGTTGCTGTTTTGTTTTTGTTTCAAGTATAAAGAACACCCTCTTTTCCTAGCCTTCGTAGTCTGCTTCAATAGCTTCAATTGCTTCAATAGGGGAATTGTCATAAAAAAATGTCGTTTGAGATGTTCCTACGTAAAATCTTATTAAAAAAGAATTTCACCTTCTGAATGACAAACAGAAGGTATGTCGTTGTACATCCCAGCACTCCTTTTGACAATTATTTTCCTCGAGCTTTCCTCAGAAATTATTATCTTCTCGTTTTTCTTCAAAGACTGAAACCTTTGTTCAATTTGCCATCATAACCTCATGACGGTTGCAATGGATACAAGAACGAATTGGACCTCGGCCAAGAAATGTTTACATTGTGCCTGTTTGAGATCGGTATTGTATTGTCTATCTTTTCGATTTTTTCAGCACACTTTTTCAAAACATTATTATCATATTTCCTTATCCTTTGACCTTTTTTGTTACTCTTACTTAAAATTCCTCCACATGTTTTCTCCGTGACTTACATAGCACCTTCAATTAACGTGATGCAAAACATAGGGCGCAGTTGATACCTAGATAAAAGTGGGTTCCGAAAGTCGTGCCGCATTTTTGTGCGCTTCGCTCTCGTCCCCGCCGAGGTGCCCTTGGCGCTCTGCTTTGTTTTCCCTTTCCTACTGTTTGAAAAAAGACGCCGCATTTGTTTGGCGCGCTGTTTACCTTCGTTCTCAGAACTTTTGGCACTTTTTCAAAAGTGGACGGTCATACTCTGCTTCTGTGTAATGCTACATTGCTTAGGTAGAGAATTAGCATTCCAAAGGGCATTCATGAAAAGTATACCTTGTGCTGGCGTTCCTACACATCAAGCACACCTTTCAGTTAGGTTTAGCAAGTTGTATTAGTGATTATGGTTTTGTTGTTGTGGTTGAACACGACAATTCTTCTGGATAATTGTACATCGGCGATGGTTAGGCCCACGTTGTTGCGTAATGTACTTATTCGTGAAAGGTCTACAGTCTCATTTCGGATCTAGGCTTCGTGACTCTTTACACTTGAAGGCGGTCCAGACTCGGCGAGCGCGGAAGTTGTTGGAAGTGGAAGAAGTGCGAGTGTGTCCTGCACAGTTTGCGCGCAACTTGAACGCGGCCTCGACGCGACCGCCCGCTTGAGCGGAAGCACAGCCGACTCGCCCGCGCTCGCCGCAGCCACGTCTTTAGGTGCGAAAAAAAGTTGCGGAGCCACATCCGTAGTGGTTTTATTATCAATGACGTCGCCTTACCGGACAACATTATTTTCCATTAAATGACAAATAAGTAAAGTTAGCTTCGTTGTCGAGAAATTATGGGGATTTATAATGCTAATTCTTGATGCTTTAATGTCGAAAAGTTGTAATTACATGGTGGAGGTGATGTGGTGGCTAGCGCTATTTCCCACGAGAAGGGTCCTCGGATCCAATCTTGGATGGAATTTCTGCCAGACCAGTCTAGTCTTCCGTACCTTTGCTTCGGTGAGACAAGCTCGCTTGGTAGGATAAAATGTCGATTTGTTGACCTGACGATCCCCATAAATTATTGTGTTGGTCTAGTCGCAAACAAATGAAGCTACGGTTCCAAGTAGAAGTGTAATGGCGCTCCCCAAAAACGCTGAATAACATCGAGTTATATCTTCAAGTTTTGATTATGATACATTTCCAAAGCTATGAACATGTTTTCTGTCTAATTACTAGTTCTTTCTGTTTTTTCTACATCCAGAGCAGGATAAAGCAAAAGCATTCGGCGAAAGCAATCTCTTTCTAGTTTACGCCACGCATTCTGTTTCTATTGAAACCTTAGTGCCATTAGGATATGATTTGGTCTAGCGCGGGCTTTTCGTCGTACAACTCAGTGCTTTTATCTTTCAGGGAAGTCTTATTGATATCAATTCACCCAATTCACAAATGGCTTAGGGAGGGAAGGCTCCTTTGCTTGGTCGAGATTTGGGCCGGGATTCGACTACCGAACCGCGTTAAGGTTTGAGCGCTACCTTTCGGTACACTACCTTCACCCTTTCTGCAGCCGTAGATGACCAAAACGTGCGTTGAGCTTCGACTACTATTTTTTAACCCTTTTTAATTGAAATGTTTGCTGAAATGCACGAAGTGAACTGCATGTTAAATTTTCAGAGCTGTTTAAAATGGAAAAGCCATGAGTTGTCGCGGCAGATTTTCTCTTTCTAGTTGCGGTACATTTTGCTGGCATGCCGGATTTCTGTGCCATGTTCATATAGTGTTCCATATGGTAACATGGCGCTTGAAGTTTCCTGTGTCAGCGCTCCCCCACTTGTGGTTCCCTTGATGCTGATATTTATTTATTTATTGCACGCTAAGGTGCGCTACATAAATTCACATCTTAACATCAGTAAAACTAGGGAACACAGAACAATAACTAAGTGAACCAGCTAGGCAGCAATCGAGATAAAGAGGTGATTCTCCAGGACGAAATTCCGAAAAGCAGCGATGTCTACAAATGTAATTTGGAAG